ATAAAAGAAAACTGACCGTACAAAAAGAGAGTTGAGCTTATGGGTTTGGTGTTACATGGTACATGAACTTACGTCTTGATCACTTTGCATAGAGGCTGCCAGTGGTAAGCCGTCAATAACACGGCCTATCATTGTCATCACAACCATCCTGATGAAATGCTATCTTTTTGCTCGTGTGTAGTACAATAAAAAGCCCAAAAAGCAACTGTATGGTAAAGCTATTTTCCGGCAGTTTGTACACTTTCGTTTAGTACACGTGGATTGCGCTTGCGTGTTATACACTGTTTTGAATGACCGCTGGGTTACTTGCAGGCGCGCATTCAAAATGGACGTTCTCTTCGTGGGTTTGAGTTTCCTAAATTTAGGTTGCTTTCTTGTTAGTTTGTTGTACTTAATGAAGAGTTATATCCCTGAGTGGCTACACGACATTTTTGAATGGGGAAAGACTAAGCGTGAGTTAAAGCAAAGCAGCTGGACTCAGTGTCTCCATGTCCCAAACAGGTGGGAGGAAACGTCTGGCTTGTCAGACAAATGGTCAGAGGTTACCGAGAGGTCACATGTATCGCGTATAAGTTATTGTGCAAGAGCTAAATATAGCAAGTAATCTTAAAGATGTAGCAACGTCATTATTGGTGATCATAACTTCTTGACGTGATAAAGATTTATATAATACGATTGTGATCCATATATGGCCTGAGTGTAAAGGGAAAATAGGCGGGGAGGGGGTGTGGGAGAGGTTGTTCTCAAACATGTCATAGGTATTTTTTCTGTCTGAATTAGATAGTTCTTGCCTTGCTCGCTCTGAAACAATAGCAAGTGCAAGTTTTATTTTTGTGCTTGCCTATAATTATTAGCACCATTTCAAATGTTGGAAGAAGACGTGAAAAGCTTAACTGTAACTCAGTTGTCGAAAAACATATTCTTGTATGGTTCTAACCTCACTGCTTCTTCAGGTGTGAAAACAGTCCTATTGTGTGTGCCGTTAATAGAGGAGTTCATGCTCTAAGGGGGCATTATGGGTAATCAGGGCAAGATTGCAAAGAAACAAAGTGGCAAAATATATGTTTTTCTTCATATTTCTGTTCTGAGTTTCATTTTCGAGAAGAAACTTTTACTGTAAATAGAGAAACCCCTTTTCTACATTCACTAGCATTTTTGAGTTGATTGAGTGAGGCATTAGCCTACCTATCAGAGTATCAGAGACATTTTTGTGGCTTGAGCAGCTAAGACTTACAAAAAAACACTGCCCACAAAAAACACTGGTGAACCTAGAATAGGCGTTTTTCCATCTACAGAGTATGTTTTGTCTCCAAATGTGAAATCAGAATGGAAATATAAAGATAAACATTTGTTTTACGGCTTTGTTTCTTGTAAATTTGTCCTGATTACCCATAATGCCCCTTAGAGTGTGAACTCCTCTATTGAGAAGTAACAAGTCCTCAGGCCAGGCTTTTTAGATAGCCAACTGGTCAGCCTAGTTACTGCCCTGGGGGGGAAGGGGGAGCACTCCCATATAAAAAGGTCGGAAAATTTGAAACCAAGATCATGTTTTGTGGTTGTTGCCAGCTGAGATTTTTTTCACCCCTAAGAGGTACCAATTCTAAAACAAAACATCTCCTGTTATGATTTTTCTTCTCAATACCCTAAAAGGTATTGCAAAAGCTCCCGCGGTGGACCCTTCGAGGCTGAACACTCTAAGAGGTATCAAGACCACTTTTTTAACCCCTTTAAGGTACAAGGAGCACCCTGTCCTTTTATATGGGAGTATCCCCCCCTCCAGAGCTACTGCCAGTTGGTAATTTATAACATACATATGTCTGTACTTTCTTCTGTGGGCAATAATCTGTTTATTTACAGTGTCCTCAGTTNAGATTGCAAAGAAACAAAGTGGCAAAATATATGTTTTTCTTCATATTTCTGTTCTGAGTTTCATTTTCGAGAAGAAACTTTTACTGTAAATAGAGAAACCCCTTTTCTACATTCACTAGCATTTTTGAGTTGATTGAGTGAGGCATTAGCCTACCTATCAGAGTATCAGAGACATTTTTGTGGCTTGAGCAGCTAAGACTTACAAAAAAACACTGCCCACAAAAAACACTGGTGAACCTAGAATAGGCGTTTTTCCATCTACAGAGTATGTTTTGTCTCCAAATGTGAAATCAGAATGGAAATATAAAGATAAACATTTGTTTTACGGCTTTGTTTCTTGTAAATTTGTCCTGATTACCCATAATGCCCCTTAGAGTGTGAACTCCTCTATTGAGAAGTAACAAGTCCTCAGGCCAGGCTTTTTAGATAGCCAACTGGTCAGCCTAGTTACTGCCCTGGGGGGGAAGGGGGAGCACTCCCATATAAAAAGGTCGGAAAATTTGAAACCAAGATCATGTTTTGTGGTTGTGGCCAGCTGAGATTTTTTTCACCCCTAAGAGGTACCAATTCTAAAACAAAACATCTCCTGTTATAATTTTTCTTCTCAATACCCTAAAAGGTACTGCAAAAGCTCCCGTGGTGGACCCTTCGAGGCTGAACACTCTAAGAGATATCAAAACCACTTTTTTAACCCCTTTAAGGTACGAGGAGCACCCTGTCCTTTTATATGGGAGTATCCCCCCCTCCAGAGCTACTGCCAGTTGGTAATATTTATAACATACATATGTCTGTACTTTCTTCTGTGGGCAATAATCTGTTTATTTACAGTGTCCTCAGTTGACACAGCAATGCTAAGGAAATTGATACTTAAAGAAAGTCAGTATACTTTTTGCTATTCTCTAACTCATTAGTGTCTTCTTTATTTTTCAGCTGGTTCACTCATTTCTATGTTGCTGGAAGTTCTCTGTCATGTGCACTTCTCTGGATGTTGCTAAATCATTGTGTTTACAGTGAAACTTCAATGACAGATGGTCTAGCTCAAATACTGGACCTAAACTACAATCCTCATGTCAACTGCTTCACTGTTCTGGTATCTCTTCTTCTTCTGCTGGTACAGACTTGTCGCAGATTGTTTGAATGTTTGTTTATCAGTGTGTTCTCAGGCAAGATTCATTTATCACATTTCTTGGTGGGTGTAGCCTACTATTGTTTGGATGTAACTTCCATTGCTACATCATTCCTCAGAGTAGAGAAAAAAGACAGAGGTGGGTGTAGGGAAATATTCTAAACAATTATGAGATAAATATTTTTGTATCACTGTACGATAAATCTCTTAGCATTCTGTTTACAACACTTCCTTTCCTTGATTATTCTTGATACCAACTAAACTTAGTAAATCTTATCATATAACAATACCATGTACTCAAATTAGTATAGGTAATCATATGGTTTCAAGTTCAGTTTGGAATTAATTTGCACAAGTGAGTTTTTCAAAAAGTTGCTTCAGCGGGTGCAATTTCAGCTTTGAAAAACTCACAAGAGCAAATTAATTCCAAATTGAACAAGAAAAACTGTATGATTACTTATTAATAATATAAACATGAAAAAAATTGTGAGTAGGAAGTGCCAGAAGATCTTTCTTGAAGCCATTTTTTCTCATTGAAGAAAACTTTTTTGAAGGTTTCCGCACAAAATTTTTGTCATCATTTTAGTGTAGCGGCTAACAGCTTCAATTGTTCACTTGGTGATACAAGCATGAAATTTGGCAGGAACATTCTNTTGCCATGATGATGTCTGCCTCTTCTGCGACTCTTGATAGCCTGCGGACATTTTTGCTAGCAGCCAACGTTTACTACTCAGCTATAGTATTTTTGTAGTTTCTTTGCTCAGCAATGAACTTTTGTACTGCAACATCATCAACTTCTCCTGCATAAGGCTGCGAATTAAGTCTATACCTAAAGTTAATGACATCCATGTTGAGATAAAGACCACCTATTTAGTAAATTGTTAAAAAAAAGTGTTATACCGCCAAATTTGAAGTGGCTAATCAATCAGAATGAAAGAATACTTAATTTAGAACATTTCTGTGAAATTTCATTCTTGTATCACTAAGTGAACAATTTTGCCAAAAAAATGATGTTAGCCACTACACTATTTCACGTGATATCATTGGCTTAGAAAATTTCCTATTGTGTTTCAGCCAATCATAATCCAGAATTACGATGTGTAATTTGCACTGGTGTTACACTTGAACTGCACTGCTCTCAGCCAATCAGAATTGAGTAATTTTTTTCATGTATATTATTATAGAGAGGAATATAGTCTCAAATAAGAATTACAGTTTTTGCAGTTGAGCCCAGTTAATCTGTGCCACATGTGAGGGGTGTCACAAGTGGGCTGGGTTGTGGCTGTGAATACACATTGTTAACACAAATTTATGTAGTGCCTATCAGACAGGCCATGTGCCATCTGTTTACCTTCTGAAATGCAACAGTTGGTGAAAATGTTGTCAAGACTGCCCTCCCTCAATTGTTTCCTTTCAATAATTTAAACACCACATGCAACTTGAAACTATCGTCTTTGCACACTAAGGAGGATCTGATAACATATCCCATTGAAAAATGAGACTATCATTTTTAGGAGAATCAAGGGTAAGTCAGATAAAAACTGCACCAGACTCTTCCTGGAAAATGATGTAATAGGTTTGGAAAGTAAGAGTATGCTCATCATAACTCCTTTTGTTTTATTTTTCCCAGACTGGTGTAGTTCATGTAGACTTTCTTTGGGTACCTTCAGCTGGTACCAATACTTTGGAGTGTTCCTATTTTTATGGGCAAGCTGGCATCAATGGAACTGCCATAACATCCTGGCAAAGTTGCGACACTCGGCAAGTGGAAAAACAGTCAACTTGTACAGAATTCCTTATGGAGACTGGTTTGAGTCCGTTTCTAGTCCTCATTACTTGGCAGAAATCCTAATTTACATTTCTTTCTTTATAATACAAAAAGGACAGAACATCTATGTTGGACTGATTCTACTATACACTATTCAGAACCTTTCACTTGGAGCCGCAGTTACACATGAATGGTACCACAACAAATTCAAGGATTACCCCAAAAATCGTAACAGGATATTTCCTTTTCTGTACTAAGGTGACTGAAATTGTTTTTGGGACTGATCAAGTCTAATTGATCCTAAAACAATGGTACTTTGTGTGAATATTACAACTACTGGTACAAAATTAAACAATAGCACTGGGATAAAAAAAAGACTTTGTTAAAAACTAAACTTTGTGATGGGGTGTAGTCTTGAAGGAACCTTTTTTGGCAAGACATGGCAACGGTCCTAAGCCATGTATTTTTGTTTTTCAAACTGTCAAATTCAAAATTTTTTTCCAATTTTTCGTCAGGTTTCTGGAAGTCTTGCCTTAATAATTATTATCTTTTGGATAATTATGAAGGGGTTCTTTTTCTACTTCAGTGTAATTATGATGTAAACCAGATAAACATTTCATCCACTTTTTATCAGGATCTATTAGTGCGGTGGTCAAATATAAGAAAAATTGTAGATCCAAAATTATTATGTTTACAAATATATTATACGGAACAACAAAGAAATCAAAATTGATGGTAAAAGTGTTTTTTATATAAAGCATTACTTTTATATGAATATTAGATATACAAATGATCCGCTCTTTGACAAGTCAAATATTTTCTACTTCAAAATCAACTGTAAATGTGTTTTTTATCTAAAGTATTATTTTTACATGAATATTAAACATACAAATGATCTGCTCTTTGACAAGTCAAATATTTTCTACTTTAGTGTAATTATGATGTAAATCAGATAAACATTTCATCCACTTTTTATCCGGATCTATAAGTGTCGTGGTCAAATATAAGAGAAATTGTAGATCCAAAATTGTAATGTTTACAAATATATTATATGGAACAAAGAAATCAAAATGGATGATAAAAGTGTTTTTTATATAAAGCACTATTTTTATATGAATATTAACTATACAAATGATCTGCTCTTTGACAAGTCAAATATCGAGTCTTTTAATGTTATCAGAAGTGAGGGGTCGACAAGGTCCAACCTTTTAGTATGGACAGGCCTGAGGCAATCTGTTCCTTTGAAGTTGTGTGTTAACATACCCAATGTTGAGGTAATTCTTGATTTGAAAGTCTTAAATGTTATGACTATAAGTTTATTGTTTTCTTATAAAACAAAAATTGGAAAAGCCAAGTAAATGGGTCAAGCTAAAGAGAGAATTTAGCCTTGATGACAACCAAGTTTCAGAGGCATTTCTTTTGCCAGTGAGGGTTGCTAACAAACCATATCTACGCTCCTTTCAGTACAAAGTGTTGAATTCTGTTCTGTTTATTAATGAACGCCTGTGTAAAATAGGATACGTTTCTAATCCCAACTGCACATTCTTTCATCAACTAACAGAAACCATATCCCATATTTTGTTCAGTTGTCCTTTTTCAAATTCTTTTTGGCAAGAGGTTAATGAAAAAATTTTGAGTAAAATCAAGAGTTGCAGAAGCCTCTCGCTCACATATTGCGATGTTATTGTTGGATCTTTTGAGGAAGAGATGGATCTATTTTATTATATAGTAATTTTAGGAAAATCTTACTTGTGGACTTGCTGATGTAAAGAAACATTACCTTCCTTAAATTTTGGTAATTAAATATGAAACTGAAAAACACATATATTTCAAATCAAATAAAACAAATTTGTTTATTAAAGAAAATGGTAGATTTTTGAGGAAACAAGTTTAACTAAGAATTAATGTTGAAAAAAGAATTGTAATTGTTGTAATTGTGGAAATAGATAAATAAAGGAAGGAAAAAAAAACTAAAACAAGCATGGCCCAAGTGCCATACTGTATTTAATGAACTACCCACTAACCTAGGTTGCTGAAGCCATATTGGGGAATATTTACCCTCAGTCGTTTTTGTACAGGCTTTGCTGCTCTTGGTCTGTACTGCCACAACCTCAGGCCAATATTCCCCAGTACTGTCCTCATGCTCTGTGAATAAGAGATTATTATTCTGTCAAGTATACGTACCAGTTGACAAAGACTTGCTAGTCATATACACGTATGAACATCTTTGCAATTTGTTGAATAATACATAGGGAAAATTGACAAGGCTTGTTCAGTGAAGATATCTATCTTATTAGATGTTTTGGTGTGTGGTATTGCTGTACATTTTTACAAGTTGTGCCATATTTTGATGAGCCCGTAGGGCGAGTCGTACAGGCTCGTCAAAATACAATCAACGAGTAAAAATATAAAGCGATACTACACACCAAAACATCTTATGAGAGATTTCTTATCCAGCCGCTGTAGTCAATAAATTTATCAATGAAAGAGGGAGAGTGTGACAGTTTTGCGTGCGCACGCTGACCTGTACAGCAAACAGGTTTTCTACTGTACAAGTAACTGTACAATATCGCTGTATATTTGTACTGTTATTTGGACGGTAATCGCTACAGTTGGATATTAAGGCTGCATGTGCACGCCGACCTGTATGGCAAACAGGTTTTCTACTGTACAAATAACTGTACAATATCGCTGTGTACCTGTACTCTTATTTGGAAGGTATTCGCTGCAGTTGGATACTAAGGCTGGATATTAGCCATGATCCTTTCTTGTACATGTTTATTGACATCCATTACATTTCAGTCCATGGTTTTATTTATAGCAGAAGAATCACTAGGATTACCAGCTGAACACAGCTGGGTGATACATCTTGCCAATCACAGTGCAGGATTTGGTTTATCTTGTCTGCTCATGGAGTTAGCCATGTGATAAATGCAATGGTGAGGGAGATTTTTTGTACTCAGTTTAGCCAGCATGTCATTTGTCTTAAAAGGAGTCAAGTTGGATCAACTGTACCAACAGAAACAACTGATCTTTCATCAGTAAAGCATTTGACAAATTAAAAATAGGGCAGGACTACAAAAATCAAATACAACCACATTAAAAACATTGAGTAGTAGAAAAATAAGCTTTATTTCTCTTGGTCTTCATTCTTTAACCCAACCTATAACTTAGTTTGAATTTTACAAATTTTACAGTAATAATGAACGGTTTGAGATTTTAATGTTAAGTCTTGGTTCAAAAATAAGTACCAGAAAATGATCAAAGGGTATACCATCTAGTACCCAAGGTTGTTACTACCCTTAACAATACACAGATCAAGTAAATAGCAGTCTACATGGTAATGACAATATATATTAAGCAAAAGCATCATCACCAACAATATTGTTAAACAAAAGTGAACCCATGTCTGTTCTAACCTAATTCCAATGGTTGTGAAAAATATATATTTCTTGTGATACCTTCTCACAGAGGTGCATCATTTTCTTTGCACAGCCCTGATGACTAAATACATCAAATTCTGTTAATTGAATTTCACAATGTCTGACCAGCAGACATTCCTTCTCCCTTAAGCGAAGTCTAGAAACCCTGTTCATAAACTACAAGTGTAGTTTCCATTTTAGGGTTTCTTTTCTATGTAACAAGTATGCACAATACCAAAAATTTGGCAAAATAAATCTATTGTTGAAAATTGTTTTTAAAATCAGCTTCTGCAAAACAGTGTTGTCACACACAATATCTGTAGGTTTTGTATGTTACCCTGATCAGTGGATAGTATAATATTACTTTTTTACAAGCTGACATACACCACAATTCTTACTATCAAATTTTGTACAAAAAGGCAAAACCTTTTGGGTGTAAAAGATGTAACTGTGACAAAGGTACAAATTATCCAATGTAAGCTTCCAATGAATGAGACGACAAGAGGAACCAACAACAAGTTGGGAACTGGCAATATTAATTAGACACATGTATCTATCCAACATAACTTCTAAAACATACACTAAAACACGTTGTCAAGTACAAATTTTTCTCCACCAATGAGGATGAAATGCATGCAAAACAGAGTGATTTACTCATGTACATCAAAGTCCAGGACAAGAAGTTTTGTTTCTTCAGTCCCATTTCTGCTCCCTACAGCACAAACCAACTTCTTTTCATCACATTTCACTCTCCATACTACCCCACCACTGCCACCACTGTCCAGCTTTACGAGATCTCTGATAAAATCTCCTGTGCGCAAGTCCCAAATTTTAACTGTGCCATCATCTGAACTGGTTATGACAAACCAGCTGTTAAACTGAAGACAAGTGACTGCACTTTGGTGCTTATTTGGGCCTGCCAGAGTCTGTAAACACTGACCGGAGGTTATATCCCAGATTTTGACTGTAGAATCTGCATTTCCAGACACCAAAGTGTTATTCTTGAGCTCCATGCCACTGGTCAGGGACTGGTGTCCAATTAAAGTGTGAAGACACTGTCCAGTTTCTACATGCCATACACGAATTGAAGTGTCCAGGGAGCCACTGACAATGTACACACCATCAAATTGCAGTGAATAGACCCTGTTTGTATGGCCTTGCAATGTATGTATACACTGTTCTGTTTCAGGGTCCCACACCTTCACCAGGAAGTCGTAAGCTCCACTGACTACACGTCTTCCATCATATTTAACGCTAAAAAGAAACAAGAGAAGCCATTTAGGAACTGAATATTTACTGTCATTTACAATCAGCATTTCCTGTCATTTTTACACGTCATTTACAATCTTCCCAAGGCACACCAGTGGCAACTTCTGTCTTAGGTAAACAAGATAAGTTACACTTAATTAACTAAGGATCTGCCATGTGTGAGTCTGTGAAGCTTGTTTTGATTACCGAATTTTGATTAATCGTTTATGGCTACACTTTTTTTGAGGCACACCCTTGTTAGTTTTAGATCCACTGTGAATTACATGCTCAAAAGTTTGTGCAGTAAGTCAGGGTGCTCAAATTTCAGCGCATGCACTTATGTAAAAGGTTCCTTTAACTTGCAAGAGCATTTGCATGGTTACTCATTTGCATGTGTTATAATGCAGGCCCAGTAGCTGTACATATGGTACATTATTAAAACTTACCATCTCACTGCAGCAAGGTGCCCAACCAAAACATGAAGACAGTTCCCAGATGAAGTGTCCCAGACCCTTAGAGTTCCATCCCTAGAGCCGCTCACTACAGTACTGTCATGCATGTCCATACAACGAACAGTGGATGAGTGCCCATACAATGTGTGCATACAGTAACCAGTGTCTGCATTCCAAACTTTTAGTGTGCGATCAGTTGATCCACTGACAATCACATTGCCGCTCAGCTGCGATGACCATACCCCTCCAGTGTGTCCTACAAGAGTGCGTAGGCACTTTCCAGATATGGCTGACCACACTTTCAGAGTACCATCATCAGAACCACTGACAATTCTGCTGCCACAGAACTGAAGACACGTAATAACATGGTCGTCATGTCCTTTGAGAATTTTAGATGGACGAAGAGGGCCTGTTCTCCAGTTCCAGTACACCCGTTGCTTTGTCAAGTAGAGTTTCTTGAATGGGCTATTTACAGCTTTAGTGTTCTGGTTTACCTGTTGTGAATTATTGGATCTACGTCTGTTACATTTTACAGGAGTGACTGGCTCTTCCTCTATCCTTGCTTGCTTACATTTTTGTTTCCAAAGCCTGAAAAATAATATGAGAATATGAAATCAAGCATACCTTTTAACGCATAACCACATTTGAAACTGTGATAATTTTGTTTCTGATATCACTAATCTCTATTACATCTACATGTACAGAATGTTTTTTGAAAAGTAAAATTATTGCTTTGAGTCTTTCATACACAATAAAACTATTAAATATGGATATAAAAGAGGCAGAGATGGGCGTTTGTACCACAAAGGAGTCTGTATTATGGAGGCAGAGATTTAATTTCAATTCATGTTTCTCTGAGCCCAAGGAAACTGCCTGCATATCTGCATATTATGAAGGTGTCCTCAAGTGAAGATTCACCAGTATACATGCTTTCATACAAAACTGATTGCACTACAGCAAAATACATTAGCAATACTCAGTGATCACTTCCCAATAGCTCTTCAAGATAGTTCTTTAAAACCATCAAAATAAACAAGACAGCTGTTGCAATTTCATTGATTCAAATGATGCCTCCAAAAATCAAAGCAAAGCAATAATAGCAAACAAATGACAATGCGATTACATAGCCATGGAACAGATGTTTAAAGTCAAGTTCAACCAGGATATGGCAATGCTGTTTAGACTCAATGGCCCAACTTTTCTCAGCTTACTAGTCAAAGTAAAGTTCTACTTCTTGACAAAGCAGGTAGTGGAAAAAATTTATTTGACTAATTTCTAACCAATTCCTGGGAAGTTACAAGGAAACAGCCTAACCTGTAGAGGTTAACGCCAATGTAGGCATATACAGTATGTATGTTCATGCACAGATGCTTCTGGGATAAAAAGACTAGGCTATTCTTCTTACATATAACCATATTGTGAAAAATTAAATTTTAGGTTTTCACAGCCCTTACAACTGCCAAAAAGAGAAAAACACAGTTACATAAAAAACATCTGCTTCATGTACTTACAAGTTGTCATCGCAAAGTGTCTGCCAGCATTTGCAGGTCTGAGCTGCTCGTAACAAGTCATTAGGTTCTAAAAATGACAGCACATACAAAGCAAGCTCTCTTGGCAGCAGAGATATAAAGTCCCTTTGAAATCGTGGTTCAATGGTACCCATAATGTGTCTTATGACTGTCGGCTCGCAGTTTTCAATAATCTCATCAAGTGCATATTTCCTTTCCTCAGCTGTCCACTGCTGAAATGTATGCAACCACTCTTCCAGGCCTGCTGGAGGAAGGCTGCAAAAAGACATATGTCGGCACCGGCTGTCTACTGGACTCATTACAGGGGTCGCTGTCTTGATAGTACCATAATTTCTAAGGGGGAGGAGTTTTAACAGTCTTCTTTGAGTAGGAGTACAGAACTTCTTTTCTGGGGACACTTTCTCACTTTCATCGTTTTCCAGCTGGTGACTACTGCTAGAGAGCTTTCGCTTTCCTGATTCACCTCTACCCTTTGGTGTGCTATGTCCCTTGACTGCTGGAGTCAGGGGAGACCTTCTGTTTAATGACTGTCTTCCTGTCTTGGCTTTTGCAGAGCCCCTCGTCTCTCGCCTAGATAGAGACGGTGAGGGTGAACAACAAAGACCATCTTTGTGTACATCAATGAATGAACGTCCAATTCCAGGGATAACTTTCAAGTCTTCGATGCTAGAAAAGCCACCTAAAGCAGTACGAAACTCCACTATATTCTTTGCTATTGTTTTGCCGACTCCATTCAACCCCTCCAGTTCCTCAGTTGTCGCACGATTGATATCCACACTACGCCCTGGGCCTGCCATTGACGTCCCTGCAATGAAAAACAAGAGAGAAATATTCAGATTAAGCTAAATGCTTATCCTATACGCACGGACAGCGATTCAAAACACGGGTATTGACTACGAATAAATCATGCACCAACCTCATGATTTTCTTGCACAATACATCACGAAACAATATTCTCATTATTTCTCTCGTTTTTTCCCTTGCCCAGAATGACAAAAAATACAAAATGCTCAAACTTCTAAAAATGAAAGGAAGGAACGGGAAGATGATTGCTTCGAAACACGAATTTCTCGCCAGCGTGACTCACATTGAAAGGAAATTTGGGTTGCTACGCCTCGCGCACGTAACATACAGAAGGAAAGCCGCACTTCGTGGTACCTGTTGTCAAGACCGCGAAATTAACTTTTTACGGCTTTATAGCAAATTTCGAATTTTTCTAAGGTTGCAATGAACACATTTTTCGATTACAGGTTGTACACTTTAGTTTTAATCCAAAAATATCGAGAAATTCCTTCTAAGTCTACAAAAACATCGCCATAGAAAAGCTTCTTGACACGTTTGATAACACGTTTGGTGCTTTCAATACCTGTCGCATTAGATTAGAAAGCTAATGAAGCATTCGCCTGCTATTTCGACAAAATTTATTATCGAGGAAACCTCAGTATAAGGAAACCGTCAGGGATTATGTCCAGTAAAACTACAGAGACATCCCAGTTCAATCACCCGATCAATCACGCACGAATCCAAACAACGAAATGGACCAGAAAAAAAGTACAAAACGAAATTCTCACCTTTCTAAAGTCCTACTTCCTACAAGGCATATCAAACAATTTTCAACGCCACAATTCGGAGAACATGTCATATAAATAGTAGATTGTCGTTTTCTCCCTCCGGAAAGGTAAGAAGAAAACGCACTACAGTTGAAGCCGTTGCCCCCAAGAACAAAGATGGCGCGTTTCACGTAAGTCGCACGAGGACCTTGGCCCTCAACGTCACACCCTGTGCAGACTGCGCTACACTTCCAAATATGGGGAACAACGCCACCCATATATGGATTTGGTACAATACTCTTTGTTTTGACATCCTCTCACCTGTTTCAGGCGGTTTCAGGCCTTTATCGAAAAGACCATATAAAGCGAAGAACGCCTGGGCAAAAGTGTTTGTTGGGCTTGTTTGGTTCTTTCCAGGTTAGACCGTTCTTTATATTTCTGCTATGGCAAATATAAGCGGGAAGAATGACAACTTTAGAAGGACATGGGACAGAGAGGAGTACGAGAAGAAAGCTAAAGAGCGAGCCGAAGAACTTGAAGACGACGAGGACGACGACGAAGATGAATCAAGTTCAAAGAGACGACCCTCAGCCCCAGTTAAAAGGGAACTTCTCAAAAGAAGAGATTATGATGTGGATCTTGAAGCAAACCTTGGTAAATCGGTGGTCATAACTAAGACCACACCGCTATCCCACACTGGGGGATACTACTGCAATGTGTGTGACTGTGTAGTGAAAGATTCAGTGAACTTTCTAGATCATATCAATGGCAAGAAACATCAGCGAAATCTGGGTATGTCTATGAGGGTTGAGAGATCCTCTCTTGATCAAGTAAAGCGACGTTTTGAGTTGAATAAGAGAAAAAGAGAGGAGGAAAAACAAAAGAAAGGAAAAGAGTACGATTTGGAGGAGAGAATGGCTGTGCTGCGTGAAGAGGTAATCTATCCATCAAATGGAGACATCAAATGAAGACATCAACATCTCTGTGCCCCCTTTCCCATACCCAATACACCAGGCATTTGGCTTGTTGTGGTGTGTCCCAGAGGGTTGGAATTTAACATCACTGGTTGTTATGGCTCTGTCAATTCCATGCTCCATCATCCCCCCAGCCATTTGACGGCATTTGATGGGCATTTGACAGGTTGTAGGTACCCACCATGGGGGATTTGTTCGCCAGGGGCTACCTGGGGGTAGGGCATTTGACAACGTACTCAAAAACACAGAATTATACACCAGTACTTTTTGAAAACACAAGGCCGCTTTATTAAACTTCAGAAGGATTAACCCTATGTAAGGAGCGTAGCTGTAAATTCTTTCTCTGAGATTTAATGGTAACCCATTGGAAACTCAGCTCTATTCATGTTGTTTCAGGAGAATAACATAATGTGTGCCAAATGATTTTCAATTGATTTTCTCAAACTCATTAATAATTCATCAAGTTTAAACAAATGAAATCATGTCAGACTGTGACGGTGTTTGGATATCTGATCTTAATTAGCATAGATTTTAACGATCTTATTTCTCTGTTTTCTCCTTAGTTTTAGTCTCGATTGAGAAGATATATCAAACACTCAAGACAGTGTTTGACCACATTTCCAAACACCTCGAAGCTCGTCAGAAATACTCAGCTGCGCATCGTATTTTCTACTCTCTTCTCGGTGTTTGGAAATGTATTCAAACACGGTCTTTTGGGTTAGATATATTACTTCAAAGAAACAATTCCGTCAAACACATGCCATATAAATAGTGGTCACTTGAATAATATATTTATTCTTGCAAATTTGAAATACATGTCAATCAAGTTACCATGTTGCATCAGTATAAGAAGCCTTGTTTGTGGGCAAAACATAAATCATGGGGTTTTGTTGGCAAACATTATCAGACTCTACTCTCACCTAGTATATATTTTTGTTTTATTTTAATATACATGTCTACTCAGACTTTCGGTTTTAGGTTTTTAACAAATTATGTTTTTATACATGTAACTGTACTGTATGTGCATTATTTCCTTCATGGTACAAAATCAATGGCAGGCTGCTTGTTTTGGAACATGAATCTGTCACTTCAACTTCATTTGAACTCATCAACAAAGATGGGCTTGGGGAATGGTGCCTAAACATGACAAAAACATGCGTAATGAGTTTGACGTTCAAAGCTGAACCATGAAATACCAGCAGCCCTGCGTAATATCTGAGACCTCCCCTGCACAATCCTCCTTCAGGAAGCTGCTGGCCAGCAACATTGTTTTGAATTTAACTTTGCCTAGAAATTACATTTAGCCACATATAAAAATTATGTTGAGTAATCTAAGTTAGCATACTTTTCTTTTGGGGCAGGCATACTAAGTTTATATCCAAAACCCCAAGCCAAACCTGACTCAAAATAATTTGAATTAGGTTAACCTTTGTAGCATTCTTCTCTACTGCTTAGCAACATTGTAAGTAGAATTAAAAAAACGTTTGAAAATATTCAATGTAAATCTTGTTTTCTTTCTTTTTCTTGGAAGGAGGAACAAAGGAAACAACAAAGAAAGGTTGCTCGTAAAGAAAAGAAGCAAAAGACAGTTGATGATGGAGAAATTGATCCTGATTTGGCTGCTATGATGGGCTTTTCTGGTTTTGGCACTAGCAAGAAATAGTATATTTAATAAGTTTCATTTGAATTTGTAGTTTCTATGGAGTTTGCTTAAGATGATGTAACGTGACTCCACATTTTTTATTTCATACCACCAGTCCTTTGCTGATGAAATCAGTATCTAAAATTAGCTTCCATCTAAGTCCTGGCTTCATCTGACAGGCATGTGAAAATTTAACAGCTTTTCCTTTGTTTGCATGATTAAGGGGTGTGAACTATATGGAATCCCTAGGGTCTTTTGATGTCTCTGCTGTTTTTTCTGTAATCCCCACCCTTAACCCATAAAACAGAGTGTACATGGTATTCTAATGGGTCCGCCCTGAGTGGCAAGAGAAAATTGATGAGTCAGAAAAATACTATATAGGTGAGTAATATAATTTAATCTGATATTCAAAGTACAAAATCTCTTTTTAGTTATTTTCACTCTCTTAACAGTGGCTTATACATGTTGTGCAACACAAAACAATGGCCAATGTTTAGTGTAACAGAAGCATCTGTCAAGTTTTATAATTTGTTGATGTGGGTGTTTTGGTTGTTAAAAGTTTTGTTAAGTAACAGAAATGTATTGCATGTATTGTCTAAGTTTTCCATGTATGTTAATGCAGCCTACAAATCAATGATTGACAGTGATTGCTATCAACAAGTATTTCTTACTTAGTTAAACAACTGAAGTGCATATTATTATATAGCTAAAAGGGGCAGGTTTCTTACCCCAGAAACTTTATACAATTCAATTTAAAGGGGAGAGAAACTGAATTGTCATGCCATTACAACTGAGCCCAGAGGCATTTACTGATACTGTAGTTGTCAATTGATGATATTGGAAACTACTATCACTCAGTGTTAGTGAACATAAGGTATCTGTTAGACTGTACCAAATTAGAACAGTTCTAAGTTGGTACAGCTTATTAGTTTAGATACTGTTATTATTAGGTTTTAAAGGTTGATAATGATTTTAGTTAATTGATTTATTGTGTAGTCCAGGACTAATGTATAGTTTAACAACTTTCACTGCAATAGTCTTCAAATGCATCAGAGATTACCCAGCCTGCATATAAAATCCCTTGAGAGGGACTCCCATATGAGAAGGTCGGGGATGCTCATTGGAAAATTTGAATTAAACCCTTAATGGAGATGAACCTGTAGGTGGCTTGAGCTTTGGATGCCACTTAAAATGGAATAGGTTTAATTACCAGCTGCTGTTAATAATTTTATTTCAGGAAGGTGGCCCATGCTAGTAGACCAGACTCTAGGGAGCGGTGGAAATAGAGACTTAAATCGGAAAAAAGAGCATTTTTTAATTTTGTATGGTTGAGTGCACCCTAAAATATACTTTGGCAGATGAAAATAGTGGCGTTCTATCACGAACACCCTAAACAAGAGGACGAGCATCCCTGACCTTTTCATATTGAAGTTCCCCCTGGAAAAATTCTGTAAATTCTTATATTCTGATATTTGCCGCCTCATAATTGGAAGCATCATTCTATTGGCTTGTCCTACTTTAGTTTTAGCTGAGTTTTGAGATGGAGGTAGATGATCTTACTCTAAGCTGTAAGATATATTACGCATTTCCTACCAGTACTTGCCATCTGGATAACATGAAAACAGAAAAGAAATAAAATTTTGGTAAATAGAACATTGGGAAGATCTTTAAATACTTCGACAGTTCCTCCAAGATTGCTTCAGTTTAAATATATTGAAGCGGCATGCTATAGTTCAGTTCCACAAGATTGCTATACAGACAGTGCTTGTTTTCAATAAAATAATGTATGCTTCTTTTAGAAAGCAACTGACTATATTTGCTAATTTAGCTCTCTTATAACATCACTTCACAGGTTTCATTGTTCTGACAGAATTGAAGGTGTTTTTGACAAAGTTAAATTTGGACCAAAAATTACTAACGTCTTTTTCCACCGAGTCCTTGAACTGTTTTGGGCCGAGAGAAATCATCAACTTGTGTTTATGGAGCAAACTGTTACCAACTTTGAAACTTTCTGGAGATCATTTCTTCCCCACAAGGAAGCTCAAAGTCATTTTCTTTCCCCTGGGGTGGGACCTTCTCACACTACATCATTTTCCTGTGGAGCAAGCCAAGGACAAAATCCACTAGTCCA